GTCAAAAATATATGACGTTGCGGCAGGTAATGCTTCACGCTAAACCCTATAATCTCCTTTTATCGCATAGGTCGGCAGGGAGTGGTGCCGATTACAGAATTTGGAGCCTGCCATTGTGCGAAAGGCTTTCTGTCTGAAATACAACAGCCAGGAACACGAGGAACCCATATGGTATCTATTAGCAGATTGTCCACTTGGCCGCCATTAGCGGAACAAACAGCTACACCCTCATAGATCCGATGCCATGCATTTCGGCCGCAAATTATCAGGAAGTGAAGGAGTCCAAAGACGCCGTGGAGAAACTAGAGCCGAGTAACAATAGCGGTGACGCTATACATGCTGTCGGTGAGGCAGTACGCACCAATAGCGTTGAACCAATCAGCGTCCTGAATGGGGAAATTGGCTAGTTAGGCTATTATTCGCTAACGCTAATTTTTTACCTCGCGTTGTGAATGGCTAACTCTAGACAGCAGCCAATGAAAATACGGCAGTCAAAGGCCAGAAATCTATTCACTAAGTATATAAGCTGGAGTCTGGCAATGAGCTAGCGAACATCGTCTCAGTACGCAGCGTAATGGCACGAACGAAGCAGACCGCCCGCAAGAGCACAGGTGGCAAGGCCCCACGCAAGCAGTTGGCCACTAAGGCCGCACGCAAAAGCGCCCCGGCTACCGGTGGTGTGAAGAAACCCCATCGTTACAGGCCCGGAACCGTCGCCCTGCGTGAAATCCGTCGCTACCAGAAGAGCACCGACCTCTTGATCCGTAAGATGCCCTTCCAGCGCCTGGTTCGTGAAATCGCCCAGGACTTCAAGACAGACCTGCGTTTCCAGAGCTCGGCTGTTTCTGCTCTGCAGGAAGCCAGCGAGGCATACTTGGTCGGCCTATTCGAGGACACCAACTTGTGCGCCATCCACGCCAAGCGCGTAACAATCATGCCGAAGGACATCCAGTTGGCACGCCGCATTCGTGGCGAGCGCGCCTAAGTCGCTAGACTGTCCGTCTGAGAACGATGCAATGGCCCTTCTTGGGGCCCCCACACTTGATTGCTATTTCGTTTTCTTGGCTGGGTGTCTTATCGAGTGGGCAAGGTAGATCTATTGGTTGGAGTTTAGGTTTAATTCTAACAGCTGCCATCCTCCAGGCCCATGGTTGTGTAACCGCACTGCAGCGACTCTAATTTGTAAGCATCCTCGTCTGTCTTCATTTTCGGTTTTCGAGTACTGATGGCGTCATGGCCATCCATCCAGGAAGATAGCGAGCGAGCTGCAAGTACGTAAGTAGTGGGATTATGGGTTGGCTTTTAAGATTATGGTATGTAGGACTACGCGACCTTTTTGATGCTGGTTGAACGCTAGTTTGGGTCTTTTTACTATCCGGTTCCCACTATAAGCCATGTATGCGTATATATGCTGTTTTTGATATAACCGGTCGTTGAATTCTTGCCTATTACAGCGCTCCATAATATGTTTGAAATACCTAGTCAACGCATTAACTTTGGCGGCGGCCGATCCTGGAAACTACCAAATAACCGCTTCCAGGTTTGATTCATGGTGTCCAGAGTGCTTCTACCTGGTCTGTAAGGTAACGCCCTGCTTGGTTGAGTCACGTCTGGAGCTGCCTGAGAAGATAATTGCTTTGCGGCATTATGTTTCATCTCTGTCGTTGTAAACAAGTGCTAGTATGCCTGTGCCACAATCATCGGGAAAGGTCTCGTATATCCATGCCTGTCCAATCAACTCATGAAGCTAGGGATCTTCATACTGCAATGCTAAGGCTGGAGAGTTGAAACTCCGCCGCAGAAGAGGGGGAAGGTATAATGGGTTGCTCATCAAAGTTGAGGAAGTGCTTGAAGTATGCACACCAGCGATTGGCCTTGTCGGAGGCTGACTACAGACTCGGTGTCACCAACATTGAAGCCTGCTCCGTAGAAGTTGCCGTTTCGTACCAATACTTTGCCGTCCATCTCTAGCCGACCTTACTGTCAACTTTCGGAGTTTGCGGAAGGAAGCATCGTTGTGGGACCTGCATCGAGTCGTCTCGGTTGAGAGCTGCAGGGTTTTTCTGAGGCGTCGCTGAGTGAATCCAAGAATTTTATCAGCTACC